CATTCATTTAGAAAAAGTGCACGTAGAAAAATTCATCGTGTCATTAATTTTTTTTTTTTTTTTTTTTTTATAACAATAGTAAAAGATGATTGAAATCGGAAATTCGTACTTTGCCGCCTCACCTTGATTATTGTCAGTTAAATCTATTGCTTATAATTCAATACGTCAAAATTTTATTTGCGTTTTTTTTTTCTCCAACGTCGAGGATAGTAATAATAATAATAATAATAATAGATAAAATGTTTATTCTGTGAATAATTTTATGACGAAAAAAAATATATATATATATGTGAAACGTTTAAGTAAATTTAATAAAAAAAGAAAAAGAAACATATATATATATAGAAATTTTTTCAGAGGTAAATAAAAAAAAAATTTTTCTTTTCCAGCAGACATAAATAATATTTTCACGTTATTATTATTATTATTATTATTATTATTATTATTATTATTATTATTATTATTATTATTATTATTATTATTGAATAAAAAAACTTTTTCACGCGTGAATAATGTCATGAAATGTGTATATATATAAATAAATATAAAAAACCGAAATAAAATATCACAAAAAAAAGAAAAAGAAAAAAAGTATAATAGTAGATGGATAGATATTGAAATCGTAGTGACAGGAAACGTGCTTGAACTTTTCCCTTTTCATCAATCTTACGCCATATTTTAAATTTTTTTCTTTTTTTTTTTTTTTTTGCTTTTTTTATGGATTTTTAATAGAAAAAAAATAAAAAATAAAAAAATTCTTCAGACGATTTGCCATTTTATGTTTGTCAATAGGGAAAAATTTTTTTTTAAAAATTTGTCGTTACGAGTTTATTTGCCAATTTATATATCATTATTATTATTATTTTTCAAAGAAAAAAAAATGTCGTTTCCCACATTGATTTGTTAAGTTTTCAAAGGTTAGTAACTCATTATTAAATATAATATATTTTTTATGTAATTTATTTAATTGAACGGCGAAATATTTTTTTTTTTTTTCCGTTGCAAAATTTTTATAAAAACGAAACACAAAAAGAAATGATGATGATGATGATGATGATGATAATAATTTATTGCGTTTTAATTTATATATATATATATGGTCGGTATGAAATAGTGGAGGAGTTTCGATCGATGACGTCGATGATTTAATGATTTTTTTTTTTTAATTATAATTTACGGAACGACTTTTGTAATTTTTTTTTTTAAATAAATCGTTTTTATTTATCATTTTTTTTTTTTAATCGCGAAACGATTTTTTTTTTTTTGTACGTGTTTTGAAATCGTTTATTTATTATTTTTTATATCAAAACGACATTAATATTATTATTATTTACTAATAAATTTCTTTAGAAAACAAACAAACAAACGAAAAAAATATTGATCATTTAAAAAAAAAAAAATCAAAAGATTTATTCTTTTTTATTTTTTTATTATTTTAATTATTAATTATTTCGATTTATTTTTTCTTCAATTAGATTATTTGAAAACATGTTATTTAATAAATAAATAATAATAATAATAATTAAAAGGTTGAGAAAAAAATATATATATTAAAATTAAATTTAAATATTTATTTATTTAATCTCTCGCTTTTTAGTTGATATTATTTTGCATCGTTATTTATTAAATGACGATGGATTACTTTTTTTTTTTATTAAATAAAAAAACTTAAATAAAGAGCTTTTTTTTAATAAATAAATACAAAAAAAATTTAAAGTTTTAATAAGAAATTATGTATTTTAAAATTACTAATAATTGTTTGAAATTCATTCAAACTCAAGCGCAAAAAAAAAAAAAATTTTTTAACGCCTGACAAAAATGATTGTATTTAATTTGCATTACGTCAATGTATAAATATTTGCGTGCAAGGGTTTTTCTTTTTTTTTTTTTTCGAATTCATTTAAATGTGATTTGTTTTTGTTTTCGTAACGTGATTACGTAAAAAGTTATTGTTATTATTATTATTAGATATCTTTTGTTCCGTTATTATTAAATAAAATAATCTTAAAGCTTTATTATTAACATTATTATTTTCCTTAGAATCAATTTAAATTTATTTTTTTATTTAAAAAAAAAAAAAAAAAAACAAAACAAAAGGGAAAAATGATAATTATATGGAATGAATAAAAAAATTATTATTATTCATAATTTAAATTAAATTAAATTATTAAAGTAAAATAAATAAGAAATAATTGAATTTATAAATTAAGAAATAATACATATAAAGATATTTATTTAATAAGAAATAATAAATAAATAAATAAATAAGAAAAATTAAAAAAAAAAATTATAGGTCGGAATAATTAATTTAGTCTTTATCTATATAAAAATGATAAATTTTCATTATATAAATAATTAAACTCGAAATTCATTTATTAATAATAATAATCATAATAATAATAAACATTCGACCCCAGTTAAGAAAAACATTAACGTTTATTTATTTAAACAATTCATTTTAAAAAAAAAATTTTTTTTTAGTAAGGGAATGGCGAAGAAGATTTTTTTTTTTGTGCATTTCATTCCAAATGAATTCATTTCAAATGAATTTTCTTTTTTTTATTCTTATTATTATCATTATTATTAGATTTTTTATAAATACTTATTTGCAATTAGTTAAGTAGTGTAATGACCTCGTTAACTAAAAATTAACGATAAATAGTTGGTTAGACCTTAAAAAATATTTTTTTTGTGAGTATACAAGACAAAACGTTACGTAGGAAAATTACATAGAAAATAACGAAATTATATCAATCTCAACTAAATAAACATTTTTTTAAATTGAAATTTATGCTCAATTTAACTTTTTAATTAATTGCGTCGAAATAAAAAAAAAAATTAAATTTCAATTCAGAAGTCTATTTATTTTTTTTTTTTTAATTTATTAAGAACGCGAAAAAAAAATTAAAAAAGAAAACTATGCACGCTTAAACATAAATATTTATTTATTAAAACGATTTTTTTTAAAAGTGAAAAAATAATGATAATAATGATAATAATAGAAACAAAATAAAGGGTGTTAATAAATAAATAAATTCTGAATAAAATGTCGCACTCTCAAAAAGTTTTTTTTTGTTAACAAAAAAAAAGTCGAAATAAATAAACAAAAAGTTAAATTTTATTTTTAAAATATGCTAAAATAAAAATAAAAAATAAAACAATAAAAATCGTGGCAGAAGAAATAGGAAAAAAAATTTTATTTGTTTTTTTTTTTCGGTTAAGAAAAGAATTTATTATAATGAGCCAATAGTATTGTTTTTTTTTAAAAGAAAATATTAAAAAAAAAAAAAATTGAAGCTTTATTTATATTAAATAAAAAAAGAGAGAGAGAAAGAGAGAGTGGAAAACTAATTATCTTCCGATTATTAACCAAATAATACGGAAAAAATTTAGATCGAAAAAAAAAATCACAATCAATAAAAAAAAAATTTTCACACTTAATTAATTTTTTTTTTTCTTTTTAAAGTAAAATAATAATAATGATGGTAATGATTATGATGATGATGATATAAAATTAAATAAGGATTGATTGGGGTGAAAAAAGAAAAAATTGAAAAAAAAAATGACAGATGACAAGTACTTAATAAAAATTCATTTAAACTTTTTTTTTTCTTAAAGTTCAAAAAAACAAAAAACTCATTTTAAAATAATTGATTTGACTTTTTTTTTTTCTTTTTTCTTTTATTTTTATTTATAAATAATAATAATAATAATAATAATAATAATAAAAATAATAATAATAATAATAATAATAATAATAATAATAATAATAATAATAATAAAAATAATAATAATAATAATAATAATAAAGATTATCAAATGATTACTTTTTGTAACGGTTTTCCCTTTTTTTTCTCTCTCCCCTTTTTCGACTTTATAGAAAAAAAAAAAAAAATTTAAAAAAAATTATTAACTCCCTAAATAACGATAATAATAATAATAAGGAGGAGGAGGAGTGCGTGCTCGAGCGTGAGACAATGGTCAATAAATGACAAATCTATTCATTTAATTTATTTTAACAGTTTTACGTAGAAAGAAATTGTGTTTATGCAAAAAAGGTCTATGTAAAGTAACTCGTAAGAAAACACCATGGGAGGTTTGAATACAACGGCATATGTAATTCTTTTTATGATTCGTATTTTATTTTACCAAACATACTAATCTTATAATGGAGTAAAACAAAATCCCGAAAATGTTTTTTTTTGAACTTATTGACTTATCCCGATTGTATAATTTTATTCTAGAACATTTCTTGGACTTGATTGTAAATAGTTTGTGATAAATAATTTTATTAATTGTTAAAAATAGGAATAGATTAATAAATATTTGTCGTCATCACATTGGTTACGAAATTTCTGGAATATTCTATTTTTAAGTAAGTGTTGCTTTAGATATGCTGTTGTAATTGGAGATAACTTTAGATAATACAAACCCGTTTCCATCGAATAAGATGGAGATTTACAAGAATTGTTGTGACGTCATAGTCGAAACCTATTCATCAGGCGCGCAGCATCGCTGATATTCAGACGTTTATTTTTAAGGGATCGGCGGGTAGAAACCTGGAATAAATTTTTAAAACTACGGAACTGAGAACATAAATTCGTCGCGTTCAAAAGTAAAACATAATAATGATAAAACAATGCTTGTTTTAATTTAAATTATTTTTTCCCGCGTTTTTATTATCATTAATCCGAAAACGTTTATCACGTTTATCTAGTTATCTTCTTCTTTTTCTTCTTGTTTTTGATGTTTCGTTTTTTTTTGTTAAATTTTAATTTAATTTAAAAATAATTTTACATTTTAAAAACTTTTCCTTTCCTTTCCTTTTTTTTTCAAATAATCTTTCGTCAGGAAAATTTTTTAACCAGTAAAAAAATTTTTTTTTTTCATCGAGTTAAAATTTTCCAGTTTTAATTTTCATTCCTTTTTTTTTGTAAATATAAAACATTATTACTTCCAGTTTTTTTTTGTTAAAAAGGTTCAAAAGAAATTTTTTTTTTTTACAATATAAAATGTTTCCAATATTTTCCGTAACTTTTAATAAAAAAAAAAAAAAAATTAACCTTAGGTATAATTTTTTCTAAAAGGGAAAAAAAAACACGGAAAAGATTTTAAAAAAAAAAAAAAGTTAAAATTTTTTTATTTTATTTTTAATTTTGTTTTATTTGTTTAATCATCATTTTCCATTTTTTTTTTTTTTTAATTGTTGATTTCATTTGTTTCGAGGGAAAAAAAAGAATGGAAGAGTGAGAGAGAGGAAGAGGGAGATAGGGAGAGAGAGAAAAGAAAAAAAAAAAGTTTTTATAAAAAGAGATCCCCGTTATTATTATTTATTTATTTTATCAACCGTAAAATGGATATCCGTATCCTCCGTAATATCCATAATAAGGATATCCATAACCCAATCCGTAGAGTCCATAATATCCATAGGGATAACCTCCGTATCCGTATCCGTAACCTAAACCGTATCCCAATCCGTAAGAATTATCTGTTTTCAAATCTTCTCCTTCGGATAATTGTCTTTTTAAATCTTTTCTTTCATTTTCTTGTAATTCTTGTGGTCTTCCAAAAGCGGAAGTTAATAAGCAAAAGGCAAGGATGAGGCAAAAAGACTGAAAAAAACAAAAAAATCCATTTTCAGGTCACGTGTGTGTGTGTGTGTTATTACTACTACTATTATTATTATTATTATTTTTCAAGTTTATTTCCAACGTTATAATTTAAAAAAGAAATAAATGACCGGAAATTGTAACTTTTCTCTCTCTCTCTTACTAACAATGATGACGTTAAATCAAACAAACCATTGTCGGTTAAAACAAACGACAACGACACGATAAAAATTTTAAATTTTTTCGGCATTTTATATATGAGAGAGAGAGAGAGAGCGAGAGAGAGAGAGAGAGAGCGAGAGAGAGAGAGAGAGAGAGAAAACAAGAAATTTTTTTTTCCTTTTTTTTTTTTTTTTGAAATTCGACAGGGAAAAAGAAAAAAATGGCGAACATGTCGACATTTTTTTATTCAACATTGAATTTCATTTTTTTTTTTTTCTTTTTTTTACAACCGAAAGAAAAAATTATTATTTTTTTTTTTTTATAAAAGGAAATGAAAACCCGACGTTAATAAAAAAACCTTTTGGTGAACGACAGCAAATTTAAAATACACTGAATATGTAATCATAAATTCATTCGCAGCAAATTAAAAAAATTTTTTTTTTTTTTTTTTTTTTGTAACTTACCATTTTGAGGATTCCGTTTACCATTTTACCGCAGTATTATTTACTCCCGAAAAAATAATAATAATAATAATAATATGTGGGGTACGTTAAACCGAATTGTTGTTTGAATTTAAACTACACCCGCATACAAACAAATACAATAATTTATACTAAAAGTTTAAAGGACACAAAAAATCCTTAGCATAGAGATGGTAACTGAAAAAAAAAAAAAAAAAAAATTTTTTTAAAACGTTCTTATATGATATCATTTATGCATAAGTTAAACATGAATAAAAATAGTCAATATAAATTAAATTCTCGCACGCGAACCAAACAAACAAAAAAAAAAACAAAAAAAATTATATATATATTACCTAATAATAATTTTTTTTAAAAAAAAACCAGATACAAATTTTTCCTTTGAGAATTTTTTTTTTTCTCCATAATTTTTGTCCGCTTACAAGGTTTATTATTACTATTATTATTATTATTATTATTATTATTATTATTATTATTATTATTATTATTACTCAAAACGCGTGTACAAAAAAAAAGGGTAGTAAAAAAATTTTTTTTAATTTTCCTAAATAGTAATGATAATTTTTTAAAAAGGAAAATTCTTGCACGCCGGTTGGAGTTTTGAAAAAAATTATTATTATTATTAATGTTAAAAAAAGGTTTTTTTCAAAGGTTCAAAAGCATATTTCTTTTCTTTTTTTTTTCTTTATTTCGAGTAAATTTTAATTTTTTTTTTAACAAAAAAAGTAAGGTTATTAAAAAATAAATAAAATGTTTATTAATTTTGATAATTAATTTTTAAAAAAAATTTTTTAAAACGCACGTGCGTGAATGCGTGCATATTACGCACTCGTAAGCATTTTTTTTAACTGTCGTTATTATTATTATTATCATCATCATAAATTTTTTTTTTCCTAAAAATTTTTCGTTATTAAAATTTTCCACATTTAAAATCAATTTTCCACGCTTAATAAGTTAATATAATATCACCGTAAATGATATTTAATAATTTTTTAAAAAAATTATCATTATCATTATCATTGCAAGGTTTATGTAAACGTTAAAAAAGGTGTTTGTATTATTAAAAGTAATTTTAAATATATTAAAAAAAAATTGTTTTACAAGTATAACATCATCACCCTTGACCGTAAATAAATTATTAAATTATAATTTTTTTCTTTCTGACAGTTGGCAATAGTGGTATTAATAAATATTATTAAATACGCATAAAAGATTATTAATTAAAAAAAAACATAATTAATTATTTTTTAAAAATTGTTTTCATTTCATTTGTATTTATTATTATTTTATTTATTTGAAATTAATTTTTTTTCTGGAAATTTTCGTTCCAGTAAATTCCAAAAAAAAAAAAAAGGGAAAAGTAAAAAAAAAGCTTATGAATTTTTAATTGTTCAAAAAAAGAGAGAGAGAGAGAGAGAAAAAGAGAGAGGAAAAATGGCGGACAATAACGTTAATTAATCATGAGAATTCGATAATAATTACGTGTAATTTTTTTTTTTGCTTGTTTATTTTAATGAAAGCTTTTTTTCTATTAAAAGCCGTTGGACAATTGATTAATAAGAAAATTATTATAATTATTATTATTATTATTATTATTATTATTATTATTATTATTATTATTATCATTATAATTATTGTTTTAATAAAATTCAATAATAACAACAACAACGACAATAGCCTAGTTAATAAATAAACATAGATACGAAAAATTTTTTTTTTCTCTTAATTTTTATTATTATTATTATTATTATTATTATTATTATTATTATTATCATCAATGGACTAATTCTCAAGTCCTTGTTAATCAAAGACAAAAAATCACGCAAATTCATTCTACCATATACAAGAGAGAGAGAGAGAGAGAGAGAGAGAGGGGAAAAAAGAGAGAGAGACAGAGAAACAAACAAAACTGTCAATTTTATTATAATTATTTATTTTTTTTATAAGATATTTCGTAAATAAGAGATCATGCATGAATTCATCGCGTTTTAAACGAATGTTTCAAAACATTTGAATGTTTTTTGTTTTTTTTTCTCCGCGGATTTATTGTGTGACGTCATCGCAATTGTCAAAAGGTTTCGAAAAAAAAAAAAATGTCGGTTCAAAAATTAATGGAGTTTTTTCGTGGTTGTTGTTGTTGTCGTCGGCTAATGCGTTATGGGAACGTGTAAAGGAAGGAAATAACGTAACGCACATCCACACTTTATAAAAGTTGGAGAAAAATCTTTTACATGAGAGATTAAAAAGGTTTATATTTTGCCTTCGCGATTAATTTCATAAGATTTTATTACTTAAAGAAAAATTTTCTCAACTATGCTTGACTGACTGTTTTCCTTTTGGATTTTCCGATCTTTAGGAAACGTAAAATAGTTCTTTAATTTGTCTTTATTTATTCGGTATTATCGAGTCGGTCGATTTTAGGATCATATATGAAAACTTTGAAAACGTTTTTAATAATAATAATGATGATAATAATGATAATTAATTAATACAAATTATTATGTATATGTTTTGATTATACATTTTAAGTTTCGTTATTAGAATTTTTTTTTCTTTCGGTGTGGGGGGAGGGGAGGGATAGAGTAATGTTAAGTAAGTGAAAACAAACATGTGAGTTTTTTAATGTTGTTGTTGTTGTTGTTGTTGTCGTGTTGTTTTGTTATGTGTCAAGGAAATTAGCACCTTACGATTACCTTAACCTCTTTGAAAAAAAAAACGAAACCGAAAACGTGGATATGGTAAATGGTTCTATTGATTTGTACTTTTTTTTTTCTTTTTGACAATTTCGCAATTAAAAAAAAAAAAAAAAATTTTTACGTTTATGTAACCGTTCATTTTATAATCGGGTTAGTGACACGATTTTTTTTGTTTATACCTATTAATATTAACGAAGGTATATAAAAAGTTTTTTTGGGTTTCTTAGTTTCTAAAAAAAAAACATTCTCGCAAAAACACATTAACAACTTTATAGTAAACGATTTGTAGTGGTTGCAGACAAAAAATCTAATTACTTTTTAAATTATTATTATTATTATTATTACTATTATTATTATTTTTTCAAAAACGTTTACTTCTTACTCTTTTCACTTCCTTATTTTAAATTTTTTTTAAAGGTAATTTTCATTAATTTTAAATTTAAGGTAAAAATTTAAATTTGGCGCTCACCTCCTGTCACTCCTTTTTTTTTCAAGTTCAAGGTCACACGTTATCCCCACTTCCGGAAATTTTGTTTTTTTTTTATGTTTTTCCAAAGACAAAAGGCAAAAAAAAAAAAAATTATTAACAAAATTTTAATTTGTTTAAAACTGAGGAATAAACAACAATAGGAAATATATAAAACCGGAAATGAAGGATAAACAAAAAAAACAAAATATATAAACAAAAATATATAAACAAAAATATATAAACAAAAATATATAAACAAAAATATATAAACAAAAATATATAAACAAAAATATATAAACAAAAATATATAAACAAAAATATATAAACAAAAATATATAAACAAAAATATATAAACAAAAATTTATTTATTTTTCTCGTGCCACGATAATAAAAAAAAATTTCATTCATTTCTTTTTATTAGAAAATTTTGCAAAAATATTTATTTTATGAATCTTTAACGGAAATTAAAAATAAAGCTACAAAAAAAAAAAAAAAAAACAAAAAAACAATTTTGCCAACCTTAAAAATTTACAAAAAAAAAATTAAAACCGGAAATAATTAATTTTTTTTTTTTAAAATAATAATTCAAAAAAATAAAATTCATTTTAATTAAGTAAAAAATTTTTCGTATATTTTCGATATGTTCGTTTTGAAAAATTTAAAAAATTTTTTACCATTTTCAATAATGAAAGACCCGAAATTAATAGAATTTTTCATATCTTTCGTTAAAACCAACGAATTAATAATTCCAGCCGTGAAATAACCTAAATTATAATAAGTTTGCGGATCGTTAATTATTTTTAACGGTTTTTCTATTTCCGGTTTTTTTTTATTTAAATAAATATTTCCCGTTTTAACGTGTGAAATTAATTTTTTACCCTTGCTACCATTATTATTATTATTATTAATAGATTGTGATTGACGTGTGTATACCGGAGGAGAAGCAGACGACGATATCCCTCCCGATGAATATTTTGAAATTTTCTTATCGTTTGATATGATCTGACTTGATATAACGCCCAAAGCGGCTTCGTTTAAATTCGGTAAAGTTTTTAATTTTAATTTTTCATGATAAATTTTATATTTTCCTTTGTTCGTATTTATTATAAACTCACTCCTTTGACCGTTCCTTTGACCGTTATTATTATTATTTACATAATAGTAATAATTATTATTATTATCATCTTTTATTTTCATCTCGCTTATATCGTCATCATTATATGGAATCCAATAATTATTTATAGATTTAACGTATCGCGTCAAATAATCATTATTATTATCATTATTATCATTATTGTTATTATTATTATTATTATTATTATTCGCTGTTGCACTGATGTCAATCGTATTCAAATATGACGTTATTATTATTATTATTATTATTATTATTTTATTATTATTATTATTATTATTATTATTATTATTATTATTATTATTATTCACACTTTTTATTTATTTTTCTAATGCCACGTCGTTTGATTTTTTTTATAAATAAATTTAATCGAACATTAATAAATTTTAACGGTACGAAATAAAGTTTTAACTCGTTGGTTAATTATTAATTAATTAATTAATCATGTATTTTAAAATAAATAATGAATTTAATTAAAACTTATTAAAATTGTGTCCTCCTTCCCTTCCCCCCCAAAAAAGAGAATAATAATAATAATAGTAATTATGTGAAAAAACATACCTGGTAAAACGAGTTGACACGTTGACATCGCGGGTAAAAAATAAAAAAAATAAATAAATAAATGCATTTTTATTGATTTATTTATTTATCAATTTATCGAATTTAACAATAAAAAAAATAAATAAATAAATAAACAACGACGACGACGACGACAAAAAAATAAATAAATAAAATTATTGTTGTTTTTTTTTTTACGGTTTGAAAATTTCTTTTACTTTCTATTAATTGAAAATTATTATTTGTTCAATTTGTTTGAATTTACACTCGAAAGAACAAATAATAACAATTATAGATTTCATTTATTAATAATAATAATAATAATAATAACATGTGCGGAAAGGTAAAGAAAGGGATGAGGCGTAACGGTGGAGAACAGGTGAAAAGGAAAGAAAAAAAAAAAGAGAGAAAAAAAAAATTTATTTTCGTTTCCCTGAAATGATGGCAAAAAAAAAGAAAAAAGTTTAAATAAAATTTTTTTTTTTTTTTTGCGTGGAATGATCTAGAATATGTTATGAAAGGGGTATAAAATGAGAGAGAGAGAGGGAAAGGGGATGAGATTAAGAGAAAGGGTTGACAACAAAAAATGAGGAGAAAGAGAAGGAGGAGGAGGAGGAGGAGATGATACAGATTTTATTGTTATTAATCGTTTATTCTTTCGTTATTTAATTGTAATTATTTTTCCTTTTTTTTAATTCCTTTGAATTCTTTTTTTTTTCCTTTTCAAGTATTTTTTCCATTTGTTTATATTTTTTTTTTATGTTATAAAAATTCACGTTAAAAATTAATAATAATAATAATAATAATAATAATAATAATAATAATAATAATAATTTTTTTTTACATAAAAAAAAAAAAAACTTTTCACATAATTTTCCTTTTTAAAAAGAAAAAAAATTTAAAAAAAAAATTAATTAATTAATTAAAATTTTAAATAATAATAAATAAATAAATGAAAGAATAATTAATTAATTAATAATTTTTTTTTTATTTGCTTCTATGCAAACCCGCACGATTCAAAATTTAATTAATTTTAAGAAAATAACAAAAAAAAAAAGTGAAAAGGGCAAAAACAAAAACAAAAAAAATTTTTTGTCTTCTTTTTTCATTCATTTATTTATTATCATCATTATCATTATTATTATTATCATCATCATCATTATTATTATTTTGTGGGGACGTAAAGACCGCATATTAACGAAATTTTAATTACAATCAAGGTTATTTTCGGGGTTTTTGTATAAGCCGTGAAAACGATTGAACCGAAAAATTTAATTCATTTTACATATATATAGATAAATTATTTATTTTTGAAGGTTTTATTCGTTTGTTCGTTTGCCCGTTTGTCCGTTTGTTCGTTCGTTTGTTTGTAATTGAATTTTTAATAATTACCACCTTAATGATGTTTACGTCTAACTATGTAATAGCCATAAATGAATTTTCTCTTATTTTATTCCAATTTCCGTATATAAGAAAATGAAATGACGCATCATTTATTATTTTT